TGGGTTACTCACTTTTTATCCCAGCTACTGTTACCTTCAATATATCGTGTGGTTGGTGTTAAATTATCCTCGCCCTAAACATAATAAATGTTTAGCAGACTAGTCATAGGTCGATTGTTAGCAAATTAATTCCACTGAGTATCGCTAGTATAGTTTGATTCTCACCCAGTGCCTCATTTTGTACTGATCGGCTTACACGAGATTTATCTGCTATTTATTAAGAGTCACTGTTTAATGTGACGGAAAAAAACGGTATGGCAAAAGGATAGTTATTCCATTCACACACTTTTTACTCCCTCGGCAATATTTTTTTTTTTTAACTTTTTAATCAATTCACTCCAAGCAAGGCGATAATACCACTAAGACACAAGGGTTACTGGGAATTAAAAGACTTTAAAAGAAACCGCAAACATAATCCTAAACAGGAAACAAGGGATAATCCTATACACCTGTTCGAAAGACCGGGGAGGTGTGTGAACAAGACAATAGGCAAAGCTATCTTCTATATTTACAAGATTATATAAAGTTATACGAACCAGGTACAATGAGACATTTATTATTTACCTTTCATAATGATTTATTATTTACCTTTCATAATGATTTATTATTTATCATTTTATAAAGAAATAAATTTGAAAAGAAATCTCTTTATTTATAAAAAAACTCTTTATTTATAAAACAATTACAAAATTATCAAAATATGTAAACCAACTACTATACAATATTTATTAGTTACCACTTTATAAATAATTATAAAAACAATTTTTTTTTATTCCTAATTTTATTTAAAATATCAATGAACTATTATTATCAATTCTCAAGAATAAAGAAAATGTATAAATCCACTTTCATGTGTTTTGGTTTTATTAAAATTCTAATCATCACTTTTTTAAACAATAAACACTGCCTAGAAAGTTGAAAGTTTATACAGTAAATGCGGTGTCAAAGGGAATAACCGTCATTTTGATTAACCCTATTTTACGGGAACGAAGGTAAAAATATTGCCTATTAAGATTATCCAGGAACACGATCAAAGACAGGGAAATTGGAAATAAAAAGACGTAGTCATACCAGTATTCCATCTGAAAAGAGTGTGATTTCCTGAAAAATCAGCACTCACAATTCTGGGGTTTACCTGGAATCAAGCTCCAGTCCCTGACACCGGCAAGAAATATAAATCAATTTCAGCGAAGGTGCAGAATAAAAGTTTAAGCCAAAAGTATACATCATACAATGAGGACTAGATGCATTATGGTAATTGATGTTCCTAAGACTAGCTCGTTGACCATTGCACATCAGCTTCAAGATAAGCGTCCCAATCTATCTCTACTCATAGGAATATTATGTTTTCCTTGTAATAATAATAATAATAATAATAATACTCATGGCTTTGATTATTTTAATTGTTAGTTGGTAAAGTGGTGAGGACAGCAGAATGCAGGGTCAATAAAATGGCTATATAAGAGGAGTTCTTCTCTAAATCTTTTTTAGGTAATAATAATGACAGGAAAATGTTCCCCGCTTTATTTCAATGTTATTTCTAGCAAAGTTTGATTGATATTTGAAGGGCTGGTTGCAAATTAACCGTTGTGTAGTATGAACTTAAAAGCGCTATTCTTTTAAATAAACTTAAGTCTTTTTAGAGAATCAAGCAAGTAGAGTGGCTTTATTGCCTTGCTTGGGTTGAAATGATTAAACAAGTGTTATAACAACAAAAAGAAAGGATTAACCATTAAGGGTAAGAATACAGAATATATGGTCGTTAGTAAAAGGGACGGCGCAAGATACAAGGTACGAATTGGAGACGTCAGAATCAAATAAGTACTGAAATTAAACTCGCAGGTGTAATAAAAGACGATGGAAAATGTGACACAGAAATCCGAATGTACATTGGATAGCGAAATGTGCTTTCTAAAAGCTAAATAAAATATGAAGAAGCAGGAAAACGAAGAAGAAAGTAAATGCTGAAGATAACATTTGATGCAACAAAGATGTCGTTTTATAGAAGGATGCTGAGAATATGATGAAAGGAAACATATGAGCAACAAAGAAGTTTTAAGGAATAAAATGGGAATAAAAAGGCCATTTGTACTTAGAATCAGAAAGGCATAATGGAAATATCTGGTAAACAAAATATAGAAAAAAGTCTTGGAGAACTTGACATTCGCAGGTCATACCGAAGGCAAAAATGGCACCGCGGGAAACATCGAGTAACTTACCTGACCAACTTGTGTAAATGGAAAGCAGAATAGGCACTGGGGGAATAATAAGGAGTTAAAAAAAACACTTAGAAATACAAATAATAGGATGATCGGCCACATCTTGAAAGGATACGGCACATAAAAAAGAAGAATCTTTTCTTATCCACAGTTTCGCTTTATTTTTCAAAATCTCCTAACCCACTTTCTTCATTATGTATCCTAGAAATTTCTCTTGTCTTTCTGATTCTAAGTATAATCGTCCATTTTATTTCCATTTTCCTTGAAACATCCTCGCTACTTACTTGCATCGTCCATGTTAATCTCGACATCGTTATGCAGAACCACATTTGGGTTGTCTCAAGTCTTTTCTTTATGTGAATGAGGATCTGTGAGGTGATTGTTCAATTTTCACTTTCATATAAGAGAACCGGTATTATATAATATTTAAAGACTGTTTTAATTGTTTCTCACGAAATTTTCCTGTTTCTTAATACTTCACTTAATTTTGGAAAACAATTCGGTTTCCCATTTTTCGCCCCTGTTAAAATATTTCAGATACATTTAAATTTTCGTACTTGATTGGTTTCGGCACCGACATTTTTAATTCGCATCTTGGTCTGTTCCATCATACATTTTGTTTTCTTACAATTGATGTTTAATCTTTTCTTCTTGCATTCATTTACTATCTTCTCTGGGAGTTCCTGTCATTTCCTTTGTGTGTCTGTTATCAACATTGTACCATCTGTAAATATTGGTTAGCACAATGGACAAATTATATTGATCAATCTTTTCAAATTACCTGCACGTAAGTGACTTACCAGTTGTTGTCTACTGAAGTTTTGACATGCTTTTCTTATGCCGTGCTTTTGCTTTTTCTCCTTTTTTTTTTTTTTTTTGAAAGAAATGAAAAGGAGTAGAAAGTACTCAATTCTAAAAACCACATTCAACAGACAGGAAGAGGGCTGCAGCACTCTTTTCTTTCTTTCTCATGAAATTTTCCTATTTCATAATACTTTGATTAGCTTTTGGAAGACATCATTCACTATTCCATTGCACCTTCAGAATTCTGTCAAATTTTCCACTCTCTGCTAAAATTGATTTTGGCATTTCCAATTCTTAATTTTCATCTTGGTCTGTTCCTCATGCAGACAATCATACATTTTGTTTTCTTACAATTGGTGTTTAATCTTTTCTTCTTGCTTTTCTTTACCTTCTCTGGGAATTCCTGCCGTTTCCTTTCTTTGTCTGTTATCAACATTCTACCATCTGTATATTTTATGCCATTAAGATTGTGTTCACCAATAAAAAATATCCTGGTAGGACTTGTAATTCTCTCAGGATTATTACCTCATTGTAGAGTTTGCATAAGTCTGATGTGAAGATACATTCATTTCTACTTGTGTATTTACTAAATTAATTTTCTATCCATATGCTAGCAGTTTGATCACAGTATAAGTTCTGGATTATTTTTATATATTTTCCAAATAAATCAAGCTTACCTTGCAGTTCAAACAGTTCTTTGAGTCACACCTTATCAAACGTGTTTCCATAATTTATGAAACATAGGTATACATCCTTCTATAAATGTATTGCTTTTTCTGATATCATTTTGAGCATAAATATTGTGTTGCTTATTCCAGTGTCTTTAATGGAATTACAATGTTCTTGTTCAATTTCTTCTACACACGCGAATCCTTATAACTTAGATAGATTACTCGCTGTTTCCCTCTGTCCCGTGTTGCCTTTAATGCCCTGTGAGTTTCAAATTTTCCAAGCCTTCTTTTCTCCTTATGTATTCTAGAAATTTCAGTTATATCTTTCTGATTGTAAATATAAGTCTCCTTTTTGTTTCCATTTCCCTTAAAACTTGCTCGTTACCCACATGTACAGATCATGGTATTCCCAGCATCCTTCTGCAGAACCACATCTTTCTCGTCACAAGTCTCTTTGTCAGTTGAGGAGATTGTTCAATATCCACTGGCATTGGAGGTGGACTGATATTACATAACTAAATTTTTCGGTGTCTTCATACTTTGCTTAGCTTTTAGAAGGCTTCCTTTTCTATTTCAATGCACATTTAGATTTCTGTGTCACATTTTCAACCCACTAATAAATTTATTTTGGCATTTCAAATTCGTAATTCGCATCTTGGGCTGTTCTTCTTGTTGACAATCGCGCATTATGCCTTCTTACAATTGATGCTTAGTACTTTCTTCTCATCTTCCTTTACTATCTTAAGATAGTGTCCACGTTTGGCAAAGATATTTGTGCAATCCAGAATTTATACTGGGAGCACAGCCTCTGCATACGGATAGAAAATTTAAAAAAAACAGGAAATTTTGGCGAGCCATGAACATAAAAGAAGAAGAAATAACTAAATAGGACGGGAGGTAAGACAATAATGTGTCTTCTCTAATTGTACCTAATTTTTAAATTAACTTCACCATATTTCGGCATAAAATTAAAAAAAATGGTATATATAGTTTTCCATATTGTTCGCCTATTCAGGCATCCAATGATGGGTAGTTGCTTTGTTGCCTGGTTTTGTCGAGAAGCATATCAAACGCCATGGGATATTTAATACCGAAATCTACTTAATTTATATGCATGTTTTTAGATAATAGGGTTTTAGTGATATGTCTTACTATTTAACCCATAGCTGGGGTAAAAGTGGTGGACTCATACCTTTTCCATGGAGATTTTGCGCGTAAGTGAATATAACGTACTCAATAGCAACTGCAACTCTACTTCCTCATAACAATTCTAAGTCATTATCCATTACTTTTCTCCACATCCAAGCTTACAGCACCTGATATTCTCAAGTGGTCACCCATCTAAGTATTGACCAGGCTTGACATTGCTTAACTTTGGTGATCGTACGGGAACCGGTGTTTCAACGTGAATTGGACTTAAGTCCCTATGATGGGGAAAGGACTTTCTTTGTGGTCCGGATTTTGATTTATTTAATGCAAAAATCTACTTATTTTATTTATTGTTTTAGATAATATGGTTTTGGTTAATTAACCCATAGCTAGAGGGGAATATAAAGAACCCAACAGAAATTGGAACTTATATCTCTCTTGAGAATTCCGCCAACGGTGTTGCTTTCAATGTCCACTTTTATATTTACATACGCTCTATCACTGATATTGAGCACTTTAACCCATAAATATAGTAAACCTGAAAAATATATTTTTTATCATATATATATATATATATATATATATATATGTGTGTGTGTGTGTGTGTGTGTGTCTGGCTTATAATGATTTACTGATAGAAGCCTTATTAATTAACCCATAGCTGGGAGGGGAAAAAGATGGATTCATTGTTTCCTCAAAGGTATTCGGGCGTAAGTGAATATAACGAACCCAACTGGAATTAAAACTCTCCGATTACCAGTTCCGAGCCATTAAAAATTACACCACCCGCACATCCAATCTTACACCATTTGGTGTTCTCAAGCATTCGCCCATCTAGGCACTGACCAGGATCGATGTTGCTTAATTTCGGTGGTCTTACGGGAATCGGTGTTTCAACGTGATTTGGTCGTAAGCACCCATGATGGAGAAAGGACTTGGAACATGTACCCCCGGAAAAGGGGGTGACCAGGGTTTTGAGGTGCACATTCTTCATCGGCGTGTAGTCTTAACATTTGTTTAGCTCATCTACTATTCGCCATATGAAAGTGTTCCCATACGATATTATACGAGAATGAGCCTTTGGTGGGTATGTGAACGTGTATATATCTATACTTCCAGGTGGTAACTATCACTCAACTAGACACAACGGTCGGCCAGTGAAACATTGAACTGAAATGGAATCCCAATGGGAGAACGAAAGACAGAGAGAAATGGAGAATCTTGCCGACCATGTTCTTGATTTCACGTCGCATCTTTGGTCAATCTGATTGATCACTGACACACTACCTAGTTAGGGTTTGAATTGTTTACGAATAGTGGGTAGCGTCGTTACTAATACACAAACACACGCGCGCAATGATACAGTTACACAGAGAGCTGGGCTCGTTTAAGCATACACATTAGCATAAATAGATGAATGTATTCACTAATAGACTTCTGAACAGGTTTTTAGATATATAGTTAGAAATAGTTTCAAAACTAATCGCTTATTCGTTTTGCGTTTCTAGCAATCAGAAAGTGGTGGGGCCCTTGGGAGCAAAAGGTTATGCGTCTGCGTGGAAGAGGTGACAAAACTGAAAGTGAACGTGAAGAGAATTTTAATTTTTTATGGTTTACTTCACCGATCTTTTCTCTTCTGAGTGTGCGTGCGTGTGCAGTGTGGTGTTATGAATAACGACTCGGAATGAGAACTTGGAGAGCCGAGTTCGAATTCCGGTTGTGTTTGCTACATTCACTTAAGCGCAAATACTCTTAAGAAAGGTAGGAATTTGTCTTATTACCACTGCCCCAAAATGTGCTATTGAATAGCCTTGGTTGGCAACCAGTGTACTGCAGAAAGAAACGGCAGCCTGCAGCGAGAAGTCTTCTCTCGGTTGGTTACGCAATCGTATGACACTTGACTTACCGATTTATACAACTTCCTGAAATGTTATTTTGAAATATTTTTATCACCTTCTAATTCGTATCTCATCAGGACTTAGACATAATTTGATTTGATTTGTTTGTTTAACGGCATATCAACTCCTTATGGGTCACTTAATATCGAAATTTAATTTTCTTGGGAGCTTTGAAGTAATAAAAATATACGATATTCTGCTTATCACAATACATGGTAGAGGATACCAAGCTTTTGTGCATATGCATGTTTGTGTGGATATGTTTACTAGAGGCTTTGATATATGTACTTTATATTGTTTTTTTACTGAAGTTATATTTTGGAATACAGTTTGATTTCTTTAAGCAATTATCGGATATTATATGGGTTAATGTCATGATTTTCATATTGCTTGTTTGGTCGATTTTGTTTAGTGTCAACCTCTATAGAATATTTTATGTCGAAATCTAAATATATTGAACAATTAATGGCTTCAACTAAATGTTTTGAACGCAATTATACGCCTTAACTAAAGATAAAATGTATTGTCTATATTTCTGAGATGAGGTATTATGTACACTATTATTTACACTATTCGGACTATTGTCCTCATCTTTGTTGCCATATTTATCACAACGTTTCGGCCGTTGTACGCTCCGGCCTTCTTCAGGTGGTTGGAATTTCGAAATGAACCCTTTATTTCGCTCACTGGGGTAGACTGTTCTAGTTCCACGTGCCATGTTTGATGGATGTCAGTTATCAGTTATCTCCTGCTAATTTGCCTCTGAAAGTTCTCCACTGCCTTAACCGGATATTGAACTCACACTCTTTGGGTCCTGTCACTGGATCTAACCAACACCTTTATCCACTGTGCCATGTGTACTTGAGGACACATGGAACAGTGGATAAAGTAGTTATTTATCTAGTTGCACACTTAACTTCACAATTTAGTTAGAAACAAAGAAAAGAGTGAAGTATGGATATGCGTATCCATAAAGGGCTCAGTTCGAAATTCCAACCACCTGAAGAAGGCCGGAGCGTACAACGGCCGAAACGTTGTGATAAATATGGCGACAAAGATGAGGACAATAGTCCGAATAGTGTAAATAATAGTGTATAAAATGTATTGTTACTCATTTTGCTATAAAATGTATTGTTGGTAATTTTTTAAATCTAAAAATGTAATGTGGATATTTTTACTATAAAAATGTATGTTTATATTTTCATAGTGTTTTGTTTTTGTTTCGGGGTTCATTATTTACCCATAGCTGGGACCCTAACAGGTACTACCACTCCGGTTCAAGGTGGACCTAGGAACAACAGCAACTAAAACTTTCAATCTGCTGATCGGAGACCTTGCTGCCGGATTTAGTTTATCGTCATACCCAGAACTATTATTATTTAGACGATCATAGATCGCCGCAATTTTCTGTCGCTTCAAGTTCTTAGTACTATTTGATTTATTACTATGCCTTCCGATCGCTAGTCTAACATCCATTTGTACAAGCTCATTAGGTAGGTTACTCGATCTTTCCTTCTGCAGACCTTGCCTTCAGTATGTTCTGTGAGTGTCAAATTTTCCAAGCCTTCTTTCCTTATTATGTGTCCCATACATTTCAACTATCTTTCTGATGCTAAGTATATTTAATTGTCCTTTTTGTTTCCACTTTCCTCACAACGTCATCGTTGCTTACAAACTACTACTCTTCTTACAATTGATGGCTCGTCCTTTCTTTTTCACTGTTTTCCCCAACATTAAAATTCGTAAACAAGTTTTCGAACATAGGGTCAGATATTTTTTTTTTCATTTCACCCCATACCAAGCGATAATAAGGACACCGAGGATAATAGAGAGTGTAAGAGAATAAGAAGACTTGAGTTAGGAGGAGTGAGAAAAGGGCAATAAAGGAACAGAGTTCAGGAAGACAAAAGATAGCGGTTGGTGTTAGCTTTAAAGTTTTGAAGATTGTAGGTGACAAGGAAGAAATAAATCGGAAGGGAGTTCCACAGGTGAGGAGTGCGAGAAAAGAAACTGTTAGAAGTGACGTTTGCTTTTAGCTAGTTCAACAGTAAAACGGTGAGACCTAGTTGACAATCTAGTTGCACATTTAAATTCGTGCAGTCGATGCACAAGAGGAAAAAACTCATCTGAACATTTGCCATGAAAATAGAAAAGACAGAGGGAAGCCACGTTACGCCGGTGACGAAGTGACTTTTGTCGAGATGCCAGATCAGGATCGATTACATTAAAGACCCTTCAAACAATATTTGAACCTGCAGAAAAACGAGTGTCAACCGGTTTGAACGATATTGGAACAACAACAACAAAAATCGAGCAGTGATTCTGCTCTATGATAATTTGCTAAATGCGACACAGTTAAATGATCATACAATGGGATGAACTCTCTTCCGTGTGGTGTATTATCAACACTTGTGAAATTCAGACGATTACTTTTTTTATTCTCTTCATGGAATACTGTTTATGTAGTTGGCAATTCCATTAAATTGTATCAAATCAGGAATCTTTTTTTATGTTGGACTGATTCGTTGGTTGGTTTGATTTTTACGGCTTATCAGCCTTTTGCGGATTATTTAAAGCCAGAAAATATTTTTAGACTGTAAGATTTTTTTAATATATATATATATATAATAATGATTTATGATACGACTAATTAACCCATAGCTGGAGGTAGAAAAACTGAATTCGTATCTTTTCCAAGAGTATTTGCGTGTAAGTGGATATAACAAAAGCAACTGGAATTAGAACTCGGTTCTCTGATTTCCAGTTCTGAGCCATTATCCATTATACCACCCGCACATCCAAGCTTACAGAACCTGGTATTTCCAAGCGGTCACCCATTTAGGCACCAAGCAGACTCGACGTTAACTTCGATGATCGTACGAGGATCTGTGTTTCAACGCGATGTAACCCTAAGGTATATTTATGCTGGAATGCACGAGTTATCTGTACAGTATTGTAAGATTTTATAATCTTACAATACTGTACAGATAACTAGAGTAAATGCTTTGGTGACTGAATAATGATGATATGAATTTTTAGGAAATAAAAGATTTTGGCAAAAGCATAGTGAAACATTTGTTTTAAACCTCTATAGTGAAACATTTTGTATTAACCCTCTATATTAAACTTTGCCGAATTAAAGGCTCGAAAGGATCTCAGGGTAGAGCGTTGCTATTAAAATAGCTCTGATGAATAAGATGTGTTATATGAATGAAAGAGGAGGTGGTAGGAAGTGTAAAGTTTTTTCGATAACAACTGACCCTCGACTTGAAAAGGTTAATATTGTATTGTTCAGAAAAGCATCAATGTGACAGTTCTTGGGGAAAAGCGCCTTGAGTGAAAATTTATTCTTATATTTG